AGTTCCCTAACTAGTTCCTCACTAACCCTTGGCCTAGGTGTGCCTCCCCTGGGGCCTGAGGGGGGCCCAGCGGGGGGATGACTGTTCCAGTCCCTGCTTAGGAAAATGGAGGCAAATAAATCGTTAAATATGTTGGCTTTGTCGTCTGGTGTGACGACTAAATTTCCTAACGTGTCCTGCAGGGGCCCCGTATTACCCGGAACCTTCTTTTTACCCCCTATGTATTTAAAAAAGGACTTCTTATTGTCCTTAATCCGGGAAGCTAGTCCCAGTTCCATCTCTGCCTTGGCCTTCCTGACTGCCCCCCTACATCCCCGAGCAACTGCAGTATAGTCATCCCTGGTGATGGCCCCTCCTTTTCATTGGGTGTATGTCTCCCTTTTAGCTAGGAGACATTCCCGGATGCTTTTGGTGAGCCATGGGGGCTTGTGTGCCCTCCTGCTCCCTTTGATCCATGTTGGGATTACCTCTCTTTGGGCTTGGAGGATCGTCTCCTTAAGGAACGACCACTCTCCTTGGACACCTGGCTCCCCTCCCCTCCAGGACCTCAGTGTTTCCCCGACTATTCTCCTTAGCTTCCTCTGTTAGACCAACCCTGGAGCCAGTTTCCTTGAAGTCCAGTTGGCTTTCAGTTTTAATCCATTTATTCCACCAGGGAACACTTGTCAGCACAACAAAGATAAGCAATCACAAAAGCAATAGGCATGAGTATACAAAAGTGAACCCTCCAGTCTTTCCTCAGACCTCGGGAGAGAGGCAGTCCCAGCTCAGTGCTGATTCCTCAGCATACCATCACCGTCTCTGTTTTTGCTGCCCTTGTGAGGAGCTTTTAACTTCCCCTTAGAACCAGTCAAGGAGCCTTTTCAGCAGACCCTGGTTTTCTCTAATCTCCTGCAGCTGGGCTTCAGCCCAAGAGCCACATACCTTGTTGCCAACACTATTACCTTTTTTTACCCCCTGCAGCTAGCCTTCTGCTCCTGAGCCATGCACCTCATTACAGGGCAGTTGTTGTAAAATCAGGGTCATCTTGTATTTGAGTAACTATGGTATAAAGAAGGAAAAGCAAAGATTTATAGAAAGATTGATTTGGGAAGTAAATAAGGAGGGAGATTCCTTCAGACTTATGGACCTGGGTACAGAACTGAGAGCATGGGGAGACCCAAGTTCATTCCCAGCTGTTCTACTGATTGTCTCAACTTGAGTAACTTGTCTCCGTAACTCATGAACACTACTATTATAAAATGCTGCATGTTCTGAAGCTCCAAGAGAAATCGAATCACTTGAGCTTGAATCTTGTGGGTAAAAGTGGCAAAATGAGATTTTGATCACTACCTAAAACAAAAAAGAACGTTCTGTTCTTTTCTTTTTCTTTTTTCTCTAATTCTTTAGTTTTCTATGTTTAATGCCCTTTACGCATGTCTTGTTTTACATAATGAAAATTAAACAGATTATATTTTAAAAGTGAAGTTTCTGTCTTTTGAACTCCTACCAGTCATTGCTTTAAATGCCAGATGGACAAACACTTTCTTAACATTATCCAAAATAAGAATATGTAGTAAGTGAGAAAAAGAGAAGTTGTCTGTGAATGTCTTTAACAAAGGTTACTATTTTGTACTTGATTTGTTTGTGGGAAATATTCAGTGCTGAAGAAAGCAAATTAGATTATGAAAAAAATAGCTTAGTTCAGGCTGCCTCTTTGGAAAAAATAGTTGACTTCATTTTAAGTCTCACCACTAATAGCACTTCAATCAAGATAAAAGGGAAAAAAAGATATTGATTTGAATTAAAAATAATTAGAGCATAAATAAATCCTAGAACCTAGCAACAATAAAAGAAGATAGTGTTTTAGTGATTTCTTTTGTTGTTGTTTTACATGTGAAGTTGTTAACTTAATTTTATTGGAGAGAGATGAGTTTCCTTAGTTTGTGCAGACTTTTGGTATATCTGTTTTGAGAGTAGGATCAGTGAGAGGGTTTGGAATATTAGACTTAAGTTGAGACTATATATGGGGAGGGGGGAATGCGTGCATGAATATGTGATTGTCTAAAATATATATTGTATTTACCTATTATATTATCTAAATATACATGCACACACGTTTTAGATTAAATATATATTATCTAAAATACACACATTTATTCTCTTTCTCACACATTAAATGTGCGTGTATATTTTTAAATTTTACTCTTTATCACCATTCAAAGTTAAACTCAAAGTGTATGAATTTATAGGTGGAAGGACACATGAAATCATCTTCTGAAATTCTGTGAAAAATTTGCTTTTTTATAATATATATGACAAATACATGATGGGACTGTTTGATACGTAGTCTTCGTTGGTGCTCATGTGGAATAAACTATACAACTTGTAAATGGTAATTTTGTTTGTATACTTTTTAACTTGGAGTTATTTTCCTTAGCCTTCTACAGACCCAGATCTCCCAGGAAAGCCAAGAATATACAGATGTTTAGGCTTTTTCTCTGAGGCTATTCCAGGAGAAAAATAACCTGGGAACACCTAAAGTTATAGGGTGAATGCTCATACATGCCATGGCTTCTCTCAGGAGAAAACATAACTTTCCAGCTTTTCTCACCCCTTCACCCACCCATGCCAGGAGACAATGTCACACACTGGACTCAGCTGCTGCAGAACACTCCCCCTTCACAATCCCCACATTGTGCTTCAGGGAAAATTGCATGGGCAGTCTGGGTCAGCCAGTCAGGGCTGCCCTACACACTGCTGTTAGGCAGACTAGGGAAGACTATAAAGCACACTGAGATGCCCTGGCTGCACAGTGTCAGCACTGAAAGCTCTTCACTCTTCAGGGCTTCAGCATCTGAGTGTCTGTACACAGCTCTGGGTAAGTTTCTCTACCTGGGAGCAAACCTGGGAGAATTCTCCTAGGTTATTTGAATGTGTGTGCACAGCCTAAGTACATTTAATTCTGTGCAAGGAGTCATTCTAGTATTTCTTCAATTTGGGGCACGTGCATCTGCCCTGACTGCATTAACAGCTGAATTTGTTTAATATCTGTTTGTTTGTAAATAAGGAAATGGTTTGCGGCAGGAAATGACTAGTTTTTAATGTTTTTCACTTCTATATTATGGTCATACAGTAGGATAGTTGTAATATAACTAAGGTTGTATTGCATCTTTGCAGTTTGGTAGATGGTACCATTTGGTATCATCCTCTGAATCTATTTTGTAGAGAAACGTCTTCTAATTTAGTTTCTAATATCCTTGAAAATCCTTTGCTTTTTAGGTAACTTTTGAAATGCACAAAGAGAGTCTTTCCCAAATGTACAGGGAATACCAAGGGAAAGGAGGAGAGGGAAGTAGTTTAGGACTTTCCACTCCAATCAGAACTATATCGGGAGTTAGCGAAGCTGTAACAGCAGGAAGACAGGAGTATGTGGAGGTGAGAGATGCTACTTCAGCATGTATTGTTGGAGATGATAATGTGGAGCATAGTACCCAAGAAAAGGAGATGAAACCGTCAACTGAATGTGAGCAACAAAGTCATTTAGCACCCAATGAAGGAAAGAAACCAGTGGAAGAAAATGGTCAGAAAACATCTGAATTAAATAGAGCACTTGGCTTAGATCTTTCTCTACAGAAAGAAGCAGTAGAATCAGGTGACGCAGAAATCACAACTGGAATAGCTGAAGCAATTGAAGATTCTCCGAGCAAAACTAAGGGGCTTGTGGAAGAAACACCAGATGCTGACGGGGCTTCTCCAACCACACAAACTATATTAGAAGAGATGCTCGAAAGCCCGGAAATACTGGACAAGTCAACACCAGAAGTCGAAGAAGAAGATGACTTTGTTGACTTAAAAGAGGAAAGCAGTCTGCCTTTACCTTCAGAAGAGTCTGTACCAACAGGCAGTGAAGAGCACAACAACCTTGACAATGAAAGCCAAGTAACTCCAGCAGTAGAACAGGAAATTATCTCTGAGAAAGAGCCAGAGCCAACACCTTTAGAGTCTGAAGGTGCTGAAGGCCGGGATGAGACAAAGCAGGAATTGGCTTCAGTGTCAGAAATGAGAAGTTCTCAAATCCAAGAGGGGACAACTCAACTCAATTCAGAACCAAATGAAAAGTTAGAGGAAGAAAAAACTCTTGTCAGTGAAACCAGAGTAACTGGAGAAGATGGAAACGCGCTTACTTTAGAAGTTTCCATGCCCTCCGAGAAAAAAATTGCCAAGCTTGATGTTTCTAGTGTTGCATCAGATACAGAGAGATTGGAACTGAGAGCCAGCACAAGCCTGGAAGCCACTCAGTCTCACAGACCCCTGCCTGAGGTAACCTTTTTACATATCTCCCTCGTAATAAATTTTAAAGTGTCTTACCCCCAAAATACATCAAACAGTTTATGCCATTATTAAGAAAAATACAGTTTAAGGAGGTAATAAGATTGTATGTGTTGTGGGTTTTCTGGGCTACCTGAAGAAATTATTTGAGCCAGGAGATCAAATAATTATGGGCATGGAAAAACAATTTCTTTGGGGGGCTAAGCTAGTGTGATTTGTTTGTTACTAACTGCAGGTCAATGGATAATTTATCTGGAACAGCTGATGAGTAGTACATTCATGCCCCTTTTTTACTCTTATATTTGTTTGTCTGTATCCTAAAACTTGCCATCTGGGATGTGTCAGTTTGGGAATAAAAAAATGAATGTTTATTCTGAGAAGATTTTTCTCCTTGAATTACCTCTATTTTTCCATTGAACTTCCGTTTTACTTCCTTGTCCTTCTAGCTCTTAGTCCTAATGGGTCTCTTTGTAGCTACCCTCTCAGTCAAGAAAGTGACCTGAATTTTTCTTCAGCATCCATCAGAAACTGTAAATGTAGTTTTTAGCTGACTGCTACAGGCATCCATTATTTGAGAACATGTATGGTATCACTTCAAAGTCTTCAAAAAATTAGCTTTTTATATACATTTAATTTAGAATTGGGATTACTGATGTTTGCCCTTAGTGTACCACTTACAACCCTTTAGTCTTTAGCTTCCAGTTCAGTGGTACCTACTGATCATGGCTAAACATTGATGTAGCTGAGTACTTCCCTTCTGCAGAGACACCTGCCAATGGATGCCCTTCATCCTACACCATTCTTCCTTAAAGGAGGAAGATCACTGTCAGCAGCAATATATTCTCCCCATGTGGTAAGGTCTAGTTGCTGCTTATTTTTGTCTTGACTAGCAGAGATGGTAGTGCAGTTGTACTGTAGTTTGTAGGTTTGATATAATCAAATGAATAGCGGCCCTGCAAGTGTCTTAGTTTTACTTGATGTGCATTTTTAAGCTTGCATTGTGTAAAATGCAGGTCAATTAATCTACATTGTTTTGGAACTATTGCTACTTTGAAGAAACTAAGCATTTGATATTTTAACTTGTGCCTCTGTTTTATGGATTCAGACATCACGACAGCAAGATTCATCAGGGCAAGATTTAGCTGCTACATCAGATGGGCAGAGACGAGATTCCAGGTCTACCATGTTTCGTATCCCTGAATTTAAGTGGTCACAGATGCACCAACGTTTGCTCACAGATTTACTTTTTTCAGTAGAAACAGATATACAAATGTGGAGAAGGTAAGCTGATACACCTTCTAAGATATTGTATGAAGTAGTATTTCAAGATAAGACATCCAGTGTAGCTGAGGCAGACTGTTATAACTGTCAAAAATCTATGTGTATTGGAGGACCACACATGCATGCATACACACATGCAAATGGGAGGTTTGGTATTGACTTCAGTAAGATCATGCTTTTCACAGTCAGAATATAAGTCTAGTTCTCAGCATCTTAGGAGCATTCATAATTCTGGAAATTTAAAAGAATCTTCTCCCTTGAAAATGCAATCCAGTCAGTGCTAACATATGAATGGTAGATGCAGCTACTGTGTTTTGTTGCATTTCTGTTGGAGCAATTATAGCCCTATGTGTTTAACAAAGGTGCACAAAATATTGATTAAGTTTAGCAGTAAAGGGAAAACTTAATGCCAGAAGTGCTGTTGGTATTTCAATACATGTTTAATACTGCTTATCTGTATGAAGTCATGGAAGTCAAATTGGATTTGAGTCATGTAGTTGTATCTGTAATGAGATATGTGAGGACATAAAAAAGATTACAAGTGTATAAACTATGCCTTGAGATTAAGATAAAATGTAGTCATGTCTTGGAATAAATTCCAAAGCCACATTAATTTACCTACTCAAATACAATAGCAAATATAGTTAAGATACCATTCTTAATTTAGGAATTTCACTGAAAATGTCTTTTCTTTCTTGACTCTGAGACTGTTTTTGTAGTCTGTTTCAAGACTTGTTTTAAATTTGTAACTTGGGAAACTTTGGTAATATTAAACTTGGTCTTCTAGGGTGCCTAGTCATGTGCTCGGGGGTAGACTTCATAGACATTAGGGCTGGAAGGGACGTTGTAAGATCATTGGGTCCAGCCCCATGTCCAAGGGGCAGGAAGCCAACTAGGGTCAAAGGATCCCAGCAAGATAAACATCCAAATGTTCCTTAAAAGCAACCAGAGTAGGTGCTTGCACCACCTCTGGGGGGAGTCTGTTCCAGGCCTTGTGGGGGCTCAGACAGTAAAGAAGTTTTTCCTTATGTCCAGCCTAAAACAGTCTTGCAGGAGTTTGTGACGGTTGGACCTTGTCTTCCCCTGAGGTGCTCTGGTGAACAGGTATTCCCCCAGATCCTAATGCACACCCCTTATGTACTTATAAGCTGCTACCAAGTCACCCCTGAGCCTGTGCTTTTCCAGGTTGAAGAGTCCCATAGGGGAGGGGCATTTTAATTAGAGTGGCTCTTAGACAGCTGTTCTAATTAAAAAGCCGCAGCATCATGTGTATTAAGCCCCCCTGCCCCCGCCTTTAAAAATGGCCGTGTGATGCTTTAACTAAATCTCATTCAACTAGCTTTAAAGTGTCCCAGCAACCATTTTTAAACCCTTAGGGGCTTATACATAGGATGCTGCAGTGAATCTAGAGTGTTCTAATTAGAACATATTGGAGCACATGTATAAGCACCCCTAAATCATTTAGTTTAGATCCAGTTTACAACTCAAGGGAGCTCTATACTATTGATTTGTACAGTGCCTTTTACTGTAGCAGATAATCACAGATTATTTTATAATGAATAATTTTCCATATGACTACACACTTTGATATAATTGTCAAGTTAGACTCTGGAGAGGATTAGGAGGATGAAGGAAGGGCAGTTTCAGGTCAGGATTAAGGACCAAACCTTGAGGAGATGCTCTTAGCTGCATCATAGCAGTCTGTCTAGTATGTTTTTTTAATTTCAGCAGAAAGACTTAAACTGAACTGGGTGAAGTAACCACAGAAATAGGCATTTGGTTTGGATGTTGTGTTCATTTCACCTTCTTTTTTGTTTGTTTCTGACAGCCATTCTACGAAGACAGTGATGGACTTTGTGAACAGCAGTGACAACGTCATCTTTGTACATAACACGATTCACCTAATCTCTCAAGTTATGGACAACATGATTATGGCTTGTGGTGGTATATTGCCATTGCTTTCTGCTGCTACATCTGCTACTGTAAGGAATTCAATTTCTATTGTGAAAGTGATCGTTGTGGGAACAGACCTTTCTTGCATCTGCTGTGTGGGAGAGCAGGGACCGCTCAAGGCTGTTTCCCTTGCACTATCTTTCCCTCCTTCTCCCTCTGCTCACATGAGAGAAATTTGGCCTTGCTTGTCAGGGTGGAGAGTGGGGGTAGGATGGAAGATGATATCTGGGGGGCTTGGTTCCTCAGTGCACACTGAAATAGAATGGAGTGGAATATAATAGAATCTGTATACTTCCAATTGGACGCTTTAGCCTATTGTATGATTAAACTACTGCTTTTAGTTATGACTAATAATGAACTATTAACAAATTTGTTTTCTTCATGTATTTTAGTATTTTGTCTAGAATTATATGTTGTTTTCAAATTTTCCCGTTGTAGCATGAACTGGAAAATATTGAGCCAACTCAAGGACTTTCAATAGAGGCTTCAGTAACGTTTCTCCAGAGATTAATCAGCCTTGTGGACGTGCTAATTTTTGCAAGCTCTCTTGGCTTCACTGAGATTGAGGCTGAGAAAAACATGTCATCTGGGGGAATTTTGCGACAGTGCCTTCGACTGGGTAAGCAAGTAAAACTGCTTTAAGGAAGGAAAGAGTATACTGCTTTAAAATAATATTAGCTACTGGCTAACTATGTTCTTGTATATTTAAGTGAAATAGGAAAATATCTAAAAAAAAATATTTCATTTAGTCAAAGATACCTTAATTTATTAGTTCTATCGCTTTTAGTCTTTCATTGATTCTTTTCATGTGCATGCTGTGTTTAGTTCCTTCCAGTTTGCCCCATCAGAGAATATTCCCTTCTAATTAAATAATGGTTAAAACTTCTTTATTCTGACAACTTATTGAAGCAAAATAGCTGTCTATAGCTAAGTACAGATTAGATAATTGTATGCTGAAATCCATAGGCCATGAATGTTTTCATTTTATCTATGACAATTTTAGCCTATTGATGCATACCTTAAATAGAGATTACCCCCTTTTTTTTGATACCTGGTATTTTTAGTTTACAGGATATATAACAAAGAACAATAATCTTCTGATAAATCATGGAAGAGGTA